CCACTTTTTAGCAAAAATGAAAATGGACTCTAGATTCATTCGATTTTGTTGTTTTAGTTATCCCATATATACAATTGTTTTATATAATGTAGGTGGATAGTTGCTGAATTAAAAATGACTTGTTGGCACTCGCTCATTTGTGTACTTTTTTGTGGTGAGCTATAGTGTCATTGTCACTTTCATTAGTTTTTGCATTAACACAAACATTGCAAAATATCCCAAACGACCACAATCATATTTGTAAATGTTTATGTAAGCAGAAACGCACCTGTGAATTGAAGTACGATGTTAGTGAAGAGAATTATAGATGAAAAACCTAGACCAGTCCTATCCTAACAATGTTATAAAAGGGCTGTTTGGACCCCCTCTTATCTGATCTCAATATGGCGGCGGGGACTTTCCGATATGGCTTATTAAGTTCCCTTCCTACTCCAAAATCATTAGCCGAAAAGCATAATTATTACCGATTGTAAGAAATATCGTGGGTGTCAGGGTGTAGCTAACCTGCAGCAGTAACTGTGGCTAGCCGAAGCTATTAGACTCACGGTCAAGTAACTATTTAGCTGTGCAACCTATTCGAATTCAAATGTGAATTGATGTGATGCGCTTTGCATAATTGATAACATCCCATATGTGTCACATTAACGCGTATGTAACATCAGATTCATTGCATGCGTTAGGTAGAACTTAAATGAACATAGAAGATCCGCATATTACCTCTCCCCCACGCACGCACAACATGGCATGCATACATAAATGCACGCACGCACAACACGCATGCATACCTAAATGCACGCACGCGGCATGCATACATAAATGCACGCACGCACGCACAACACGCATGCATACATAAATGCACGCACGCACGCACGCACGCACGCACGCACGCACAACACGCATGCATACTTAAATGCACGCGCGCACGCACGCACAACTTATAGAGCTGTTGCGACACGGGCTACGTTCTTTGTTTTATGAAAAGCTGTTGTATGTGCATGCCATGTGTGTATCCAGTACCGTTCGTCCGTGCCTTGAATATAATCAATGCTGTTGCTCAATGTATGGATGTGTGCGTGCGTGCGTGCATTATTGTTTACGATTTACGGTCTATCCTGGTGAAACGTTAGATCTCTATAGTATGTATCGCTACTGAAACCATGAAAACTGCATGAAATGTGCCAATTTGGCTGTATTTGTGTGCATATTTTGCGCATAAAACAAAAAAACTGCTGCATTTCTCACACGTCCGTCCACGTTAACAGCTCAATCCGAGTAGGCAAAATAACAGGTGTGCGCTACCGTCCCGCGAACATCCGCTCACGTGACTCACTAGCTTCGCTTGTAGCTGGTTGTCTACGGTCGCGCTGTGCACCACGCTATTACGGTGCGTTGTGTGTGGTGCACTGTGTGTTACGGTGCGCTGTGTGTACGCGGGCGAGCAAGTGCATCACAGCAGTAGCAGCAGCAGCAGTAAGACACGCGCCAAATATATAAATACATGTATCAGCACCTATGATAGAATGCAGGCAACCTCGACTTCTATTATATTATATTTGCATGCAAATATAATTACATATATAATGTCTACTAGAAATAAAGAATATGAATCTATATTCTATTATAATATTATATTTGCTATTTCTATTATACTTGCAGGCAACCACGACCAGGGCTCGAAGTGATTGATGTCCCTATCAGCTCAGACCGCCCTGTCTCCCGCACATCTACGCACACGGACAGAACGCTCCGTATGTCGAGCGTATATACTCTTCATAATGACACGACAGCCGCCGCCCGACCGGCCGCCTGTCAGAGACGCATCGTTTAATCACTCACAGCGAAAATGATTCATTACGCGATATATAGCGAGTGGGTTGAGCGTACGTGTCGCCTGTCAGTCCAGGCCCTCGCGTCGGTGCTTAGTGTTACCGGACGTTATAATCGAGGGCCGGCCGATATAGCGAGTGAGTTGAGCTTGTCTGCCACTGCGGCCTCGACATCCCCTCATCTCCATCCCCGCTCGCGCCGGTGCTTAGTGTTACCTCTAGTTATAATCGAGGGCCCAACATCCGCGCATCTCCCTCCTCGCGTCGGTGCTTAGTGTTACCTCACGCTATTATCGAGAGCGCTGGCGCGGGAAGCAATTAAAGAAAGTTAATCTGTAATTCATTAGGGCGCAGTCAATGGGATCATCGAAGACTGGCGAGTAGGCACGAGGAGTAGTAGTGGTGGTGGTGCAGCGAGCGGGGAGGTCGTGTCTCATTAGAGGAAGCCATTATGTCACATCTAGGTCACATAGAGGACATTCCACGACGTACATGACAGGTCCGGTGACACGAACCTAATGACATTCTTATTTAAGGACATGTAATCGTGTGTATATATATATTTTGTTTTTGTTTGTTTATTTGTGTATTTATTTGTTTGTTTATTTATTTATAGAGAGGGGGAAAAGAAGATTACTAGACCAGACAGAACAGACATGAGAAAGTTGAGCAAAGAAACAACAGACGAGGGAGAGATGGACTGGAGAGAGAGATTAGACGAACCGTGTGAGTACGGAAAGGAGGTGTAGTGCTCTCGTCGTGTGTGTGGCGGACATATCGTGCGTGGCAGTCGCGGCTTCGTGCGTACGAGAGAGTGTGTGAGTGTAGTGAGATGTGTGAAGTGAATGTGTGTGGTGCGTGCGTGCCGTGCGTGCCGTGCGTCGGCTGTGTGTGTGAGTGTGCAGTGTCGGCGTGCGTCGCGTGTGTGAGTGTGTGCGTGCGTTGTGCGTGCGTGGGCTGTGTGTGTGTGAGAGTGCCGTGTGTGCGTGTGTGTGTGTGTGTTGTGTGTGTGTGTGTGTGTGTGTGTGGTGTGTGTGCTGCGTGCCGGTGCGTGCGTGAGTGTGCGTGCGTAGTGTGTGTAATCGTGATGGTTATACCCTGCGCGCGCCCCGCCCGCCTGCCCTGCCACCAGCTTTGGCTCTATAACACGATATATAAGTTGAAGATAAAAAGAACGCGTAAAACACATCTTGAAATTGCGTAAAGAAAGGCTTCGACACCTGAATATGTCTTCGTTATACACATTAATATTATTGAAAAGTATTTCGTTAAGAGCCTCGCTCTTTCTCGCCCCGTTGTTGGCAGTACACCATTGTAACATACTGGTTGGCAGTACACATTGTACATACTGTTTGGCAGTAAATCATTGTTACATACTGTTGGCAGTACACATTGTTACATACTGTGAGCAGTACACACATTGTTACATAGCTGTGGCAGTACACATGTTAGCATACTGTTGGCAGTAGCACATTGTTACATACCTGTGGCAGCTAGTACACATTGTTAGCATACTGTTGGCAGTACAAATTGTTACATACTGTTTGGCAGTACACATTGTTACATAGCTGTTGCAGTACACATTGTTATCATACTGTTTGGTGCAGTACACATTGTTGCCATACTGTTGGCGTACACATTGTTACATACTACCTGGTTGCAGTAACATCATTGTGTACTACTGTTGCAGTACACTATTGTAATCATACTGTTTGGCAGTACACATGTTACATACTGTTGGCAGTACAACTTGATTACAATTCTGTTGGGCAGTACACATTGTTAAGCATAGCTGTTGGCAGTACACATTTGTTACATACTGGTTGGCAGTAGCACATTTGTTACATACGTTGGCAGTACACCATTGTTACAATACTGTTGGCAAGTAAGCGCATTGTTGGGCATACTGTTGGCAGTAGCACAATTGTTTGCATAACTGTTGGCAGTACCATTGTTTAGCGATACTGTTGGCAGTACACATCGTATTGAACGGTAGGTATACGCGGGTTATAGTAGACCATAGTTCTAAACTAGCATATGAAAATTTCTATGGTATGAACAGAGCTTGCGATTGCTCGCATGAGGGAGCTACGTGCTCTATCTGCCATGTACAAGCACTGCCCGGTGACTAAGGGGGACTGCCAGTAATCACACGGTTATAATTTTAGATAAGGTACGGCTTATCGCGTGTCGAAGTGTTTTTAAGCGCACGCACGCACGCACGCACAGCACGCTCGTCAGCGACACACAACGCACGCACGCCCAACGCGCACGCAACGCCGCACACGCACTCTACACACCGCACGGCCCGGCACACACGCGCGTACGCACGTTTCACACACACACGCACGCCCCGAACACGTACGCACACAAGCCACAGACACCACAGACAAACAAACGCACACACACACACACACACACACACACACACCACACACAGCACATGGCACACACGCATAGTAGCACACGCAGCGCACGCCACAACACATGCGGCCAGCACGCACGTCCCTACACGCACGGCACGCAACGGCTCACGCACGACCCAACAGCATACACGCGGGCACGAAGACAAG